GTGGGGTCTAAATACAGTTCTTGATACAGCTGTACCGATGCTGGTGGGCTGTAATTACAGTTCTTGATGCGGCTATACCTATTCTGGTGGGCTCTGATGACGGTTCTTGATGCGACTATACCAATGCTGGTGGACTCTAATTACGGTTCTTGATGCAGCTATACCCAATGCTGGTGGGCTCTAATTACGGTTCTTGATGCAGCTATCCCAATGCTGGTGGGCTCTAATTACGGTTCTTGATGCAGCTATACCCATGCTGGTGGGCTCTAATTACGGTTCTTGATGCGGCTATACCCATGCTGGTGGGCTCTAATTACGGTTCTTGATGCCCATGCTGGTGGGCTCTAATTATACCCATGCTGGTGGGGTCTAGGTTACAGGTCCCATTGATGGTTCTTGATGCAGCTATACCCATGCTGGTGGGCTCTAATTACGGTTCTTGATGCAGCTATACCCATGCTGGTGGGCTCTAATTACGGTTCTTGATGCAGCTATACCCATGCTGGTGGGCTCTAAATACGGTTCTTGATGCAGCTTACTATGGGTTCCCGACCATACCCATGGTGGTGGGTTCTAAACACGGATGCAGCTATACCCATGCTGGTGGGCTCTAATTACGGTTCTTGATGCAGCTATACCCATGCTATACCCATGCTGGTGGGCTGTATTTACAGTTATGCGACTATATCGGTGCTGGTGGGCTCTGATGACGGTACTTGATGCGACTATACCCATACTGGTGGGCTCTCAATACGATTCTTGATGAGGATATACCCATGCTGGTGGGCTCTAATTACGGTTCTTGATGCAGGTGTACCCATTCTGATGGGCTCTAAATACGATTCTTGATGCGGATATACCCATGCTGTTGGGCTCTTATCACGGTTCTTGATGCGACTATACCCATGGTGGTGGGTTCTAATTACGGTTCTTGATGCGACTATACCCATGGTGGTGGGTTCTAATTACGGTTTTTGATGCGACTATACCCATGCTGGTGGGCTCTAAATAGGTTCTTGATGCAGCTATACCCATGCTGGTGGGCTATAAATAGGTTCTTGATGCAGGTGTACCCATTCTGATGGGCTGTATTTACAGTTTTTGATGCGACTATATCGATGCTGGTGGGCTCTGATGACGGTACTTGATGCGACTATACCCATACTGGTGGGCTCTCAATACGATTCTTGATGAGGATATACCCATGCTGGTGGGCTCTAATTACGGTTCTTGATGCAGGTGTACCCATTCTGGTGGGCTCTAAATACGGTTCTTGATGCGGATATACCCATGCTGGTGGGCTCTAATCACGGTTCTTGATGCGACTATACCCATGCTGGTGGGTTCTAATTACGGTTCTTGATGCGACTATACCCATGCTGGTGGGCTCTAATTACGGTTCTTGATGCGACTATACCCATGCTGGTGGGCTCTAAATAGGTTCTTGATGCAGGTATACCCATGCTGGTGGGCTGTAATTACGGTTCTTGATGCAACTATATCCATGCTGGTGGGCTCTGATGATGGTACTTGATGCAACTATACCCATGCTGGTGGGCTCTCAATACGATTCTTGATGCGGATATACCCATGCTGGTGGGCTCTGATGACTGTACTTGATGCGACTATACCCATGCTGGTGGGCTCTAAATACGGTTCTTGATGCGGCTAGACCTATTCTGGTGGCCTCTAATTAATGACGGTTCGTGATGCGACTATATCTATGCTGGTGGGCTCTAATGACGGTACTTGATGCGACTATACGTATTCTGGTGGGCTCTAAATACGGTTCTTGGTGTGGCTATACCCATGCTGGTGGGCTCTAATTATGGTTTTTGATGCAACTATACCCATCCTGGTGGGCTAATTACGGTTCTTGATGCGACTATACCCATCCTGGTGGGCCAATTACGTTTTTCGATGCGACAATACCCATCCTGGTGGACCAATTACGGTTCTTGATGCGACTATACCCATCCTGGTGGTCCAATTACGTTTTTCGATGCGACAATACCCATCCTGGTGGACCAATTACGGTTCTTGATGCGACTATACCCATGCTGGTGGGGTAAATACGGTTCTTGATGCGACTATACCCATCCTGGTGGGCCAATTACGGTTCTTGATGCGACTATACCCATGCTGGCGGGCTGTAATTACGGTTCTTGATGCGACTATACCCATGCTGGTGGGCTCTAATTACGGTTCTTGATGCGACTATACCCATGCTGGTGGGCTCTAATTACGGTTCTTGATGCGACTATACCCATGCTGGTGGGCTCTAATTACGGTTCTTGATGCGACTATACCCATGCTGGTGGGCTCTAATTACGGTTCTTGATGCGGCTATACCCATGCTGGTGGGCTCTAATTACGGTTCTTGATGCGACTATACCCATGCTGGTGGGTTCTAATTACGGTTCTTGATGCGACTATACCCATGCTGGTGGGCTCTAATTACGGTTCTTGATGCGACTATACCCATGCTGGTGGGCTCTAAATAGGTTCTTGATGCAGCTATACCCATGCTGGTGGGCTCTAAATAGGTTCTTGATGCAGGTGTACCCATTCTGATGGGCTGTATTTACAGTTTTTGATGCGACTATATCGATGCTGGTGGGCTCTAAATGACGGTTCTTTGATGCGACTATACCCATACTGGTGGGCTCTCAATACGATTCTTGATGAGGATATACCCATGCTGGTGGGCTCTAATTACGGTTCTTGATGCAGGTGTACCCATTCTGATGGGCTCTAAATACGATTCTTGATGCGGATATACCCATGCTGTTGGGCTCTTATCACGGTTCTTGATGCGACTATACCCATGGTGGTGGGTTCTAATTACGGTTCTTGATGCGACTATACCCATGGTGGTGGGTTCTAATTACGGTTTTTGATGCGACTATACCCATGCTGGTGGGCTCTAAATAGGTTCTTGATGCAGGTGTACCCATGCTGGTGGGCTGTAATTACAGTTTTTGATGCAACTATATCCATGCTGGTGGGCTCTGATGATGGTACTTGATGCAACTATACCCATGCTGGTGGGCTCTCAATACGATTCTTGATGCGGATATACCCATGCTGGTGGGCTCTGATGACTGTACTTGATGCGACTATACCCATGCTGTTGGGCTCTAAATACGGTTCTTGATGCGGCTAGACCTATTCTGGTGGCCTCTAATTAATGACGGTACGTGATGCGACTATATCTATGCTGGTGGGCTTAAATGACGGTACTTGATGCGACTATACGTATTCTGGTGGGCTCTAAATACGGTTCTTGATGTGGCTATACCCAGGTTGATCGGCTCTCATTACGTTTTTTGATGCAACTATACCCATCCTGGTGGGCTAATTACGGTTCTTGATGCAACTATACCCATCCTGGTGGGCCAATTACGTTTTTCGATGCGACAATACCCATCCTGGTGGACCAATTACGGTTCTTGATGCGACTATACCCATCCTGGTGGTCCAATTACGTTTTTCGATGCGACAATACCCATCCTGGTGGACCAATTACGGTTCTTGATGCGACTATACCCATGCTGGTGGGGTAAATACGGTTCTTGATGCGACTATACCCGTCCTGGTGGGCCAATTATGGTTCTTGATGCGACTGTACCCATGCTGGCGGGCTGTAATTACGGTTTTTGATGCGACTATGCCCATCCTGGTGGGCCAATTACGGTTCTTGATGCGACTATACCCATCCTGGTGGGCCAATTACGGTTCTTGATGCGACTATACCCAGGCTGGTGGGCTGTAATTACGGTTCTTGATGCGACTATACCCATGATGGTGGGCTCTAATTACGGTTCTTGATGTGGCTATACCCATGCTGGTGGGCTATTTACGGTTCTTGATGCGACTATACCCATGCTGGTGGGCTCTAATTACGGTTCTTGATGTAGCTATACCCATGCTTGTGGGCTAATTACGGTTCTTGATGCGACTATACCCATTCTGGTGGGCTCTAATTACGGTTCTTGATGTGGCTATACATACCCAACCTTGACGTTACAATTTGTAAAACGGAACTTGCCAATTGTGGAATAAAGGTTAAAGCAGAGGATTCACTCTTCAGATCATAGGTTTTGGTACAGTGTGATTGATGTCTGTCTATCAGTGTATCATTTTCACATTTCAAGTTTCCTCTGACATTAATATCTTACTTTCTTATTAATATCAGTGTTACACCTATACATAAATGTATTCATGGAGGAAAGGTAATCACCTTTGATTAAATGTGTCCTTTCAGCAGTTTCAAAGCCAAACGGTCTGGTGCATTCTCATATGTGTCAAAAACAGTAACTGGCAGTCATTTGCGTAACAGTCTATCAACTTCAAACCAATACCTCACCTATTCCTTAACTTTATACTTGACATTTTCATAGGATACAAATTGTACTTATACCTCGAATTTTGGAAACATAAGGAAAGTCACCTACTTGGGTGTTCAGTCAAGACGTGATGAGGTAATTTTACGACGATGTCGTATTGGCCACAGTCGATTTACTCATGACTATCTGCTGAAAACGGATGGGGATGGACCCCCCACGTGTGTCTCTTGCGATGAGGTTTTCACCATCAAGCATATTCTGCTTGAATGCGTGGACTTATCGTCTGCAAGGGACTCACATTATGATGCAACATACCTAAAATATCTGTTCTCCCGCGTGAGCGCTCATCTCATAGTGAACTACCTGAGGGAAACTGATCTGTATCATAAATTGTAACTGTGAAATGTAACTATCATAAATTGTAACTGTTAAATGTGACTAACAAATTGCCTGCCTTTAAATTTGATGCTATGACTTTTTCTGCTTTTTAATGACAATGTAATGAATATATGTTTTTGAAATAAAACTCATTCCGAGTATGTACTTACAATGTTTATTAATGCAAACTTGTTCTCGTCACTATATGGCTGGAATAATGCCGATGTGACGCAAAACCCAACTCAACTCAACTCAACACTACATAAACTGTAGAAAGTACATATCTGGTGTTTTGGGATCATTTGAAAAGCGTTGTGATGTTGACTGGCAACTGCGCAATTGGGCACGATATCTGGGGTGTTTGGGCAACATATTAGGAAAGTCTGTGACTTATATATCACTGTAAAAACTCTTTTCAAAACATTTACATCGCTATTTGGAAAGTAATCCAAAAGCACCGGGTGTGTACTTTCTTTTGTACGTCAGTTTATGTAAAACGTTTTATGAATAGAAGCGGGAAGGGAAGAATCACCCGTTCTCTATACATTATGTCTCTCATAGTTCTTCACGTCGTCGCCAAGACCATGTTCAAGCAGATGATAATAAATGCCGTGTAATTGGCACAACAAGAAAGAATTGTGTTGAGCATAAAACAATTTAACCCCAAAAGTTTAATATTTTCATCTGAGACATTCAATATAAGTTTATTCGCTACGAAAGGCTGTTCATGTCTGTTTTGGTTTTCGAACAGGAACCTTGAACCAAAGAACACCTTGAAGAGTCTTTCCAAAAGGGTAATGTAGAGATAGGCGTTACGAATATTATGATTTGTAACTAATTAGAGATGTAGAGTGTGATATCATCTCCTGCCGCTCACATTGGCTTACTTCCAAACAAGTTGCATCTTGACCCAGCAGTGGCATATCAGCATCTGACTACAGACGGTGCACGAATGGGAAATGATAATCGCATGGCAAAACCCTAGCTGCCTTCGGGTGAGTTTCATTACCGCACAAGTAAGTAAGAGTGTATCGCTTGGAGAACTCTCTGCCAGATTGCAGCTGTCAGTTGGCCATCAACCACTGAGAGGGTGAGCATGACACATTACACGCGGTGAAGTCTGGGCGTCTTATCGGTGTAAACGGCCATCTTTAGACTGTAACGATGTCTGCCTCCGAGGTGGTTCTGACATTATTACTTGACCATCGTGATAGTGGTGACGTCACTGGTCTTCTCCATTACTGATCCCCGTGGTGTTGGTCACGTAATGCAATCAGCGTTATCTACGTGCATTGACAGACGAAAAAGGAATTGTTTTGGGGTTTAAATATATTTAACTATGTCTATTGAACATTGCATGAAGGTTTGAACCTACATCCCCTGTCGTGAGCTCTTTTCCCTAGTTCTTTGAGCAGAAATTTGAGCAGATATTTCATTGCCAAAACGTTCGAAATATAAACAGTCACAATGTTCTGTAAACTGCATACACATATTTTGTAATACCATAGTATAGTTGGGCTTAAGGGGTTGTACTACAGATGTGTACCCAGGAATACAGAAACGTACCCCAGCCAAAATCAGAATACAGAAACATACCCTAGGACGATTCCATTCCGCTCTGTGTCGTTTTCTTGATCGGAACTATCATACCGTTGTATTAGATGCATTTGATTGCGTTATATAAGAAACGAGCATAAACAGTAACGAATATCTCGGGATCACAACACCACTCGCAATCAGTTGAACGCGAACTACTACAGTTCATTTTCACCCGTTTTCATGAGAGTTTCAATGGTCATTTGATAATTTTCAGAACAATAGGGGTGGGGTGCGCACCCCTGCACCCCCACTCTGGATCCGTCTATGCATACATACACAAACGTTCATCTTGTACATGAGCTATTGTTATCCTGCATGGATTGTCCTTCGTCGTCTTTCAGGTGTTTTCCCGGATGCTCCGTCACAATATTAATCTCATGTTTTCATCGTTGTCCAAAACGCATTGTCTACTCTCCCTACAAAAGCGTGTTCTCATCCGACCGTTGTCAAATAATCCGACCGTTCTAATCAAACCGCTGTGCAGGTATTCTTGACGACTCTTGTTAGAATAAGTCCACAGCAGGTTATTCATTGTGGGAAGCGACGACAGTGGATCAGGTGGTCGGGCTCTGTCATGAGGGGTTGATTGCATGAAGTCTGTGTCGACCCCAAAAGCATTGCATGGGTGTGAATTCTGGTGTTCACTAACTGATACGGAGTATAAGTTTCTTGAAAGAGCCTTTAGACACGTTGTTAAGTGCATCCAGGATCTCCCCAGACGAACCCGAACTGATGTATGCCTTGGCTTGCTCGGTCTCCTACCACTTGAAGCTGACATAGACACCAAGAAACTGATATTCTTTGGGAAACTGATAACAATGAACAAACAACTCCTGCCACATAAGATACTTACCTCCAGGATGCTCAAATACCATCACAGAGTGGCTACAACTGCAAAAGATTTGTACCAGAGGTTTACAGATTACTTCAGAAGTATTTACTCCAACAATCTGCTGATAATTACATCAGTACTGGACAATTTCCAACCTATGGTTCCTGGAAGAGGGTCGCCAAGAAAGGGTGTAACAGAACATTAATGCATGCATTTTCCAAACACAGTGGTTGTCCTTTGAGTAATTCGTCTTGTTATTGAAATGAATCTTGCATCGACAGGTCCTGTGATGGTACAGCATGAAATCAATGACTTGAAATCTACTAAAACGATGTTTTGTAGAAAACCATGTCCAAATTACTTCCCCTCCTGCATCGATTTATTTTGGGTTTATTCTTTGCTAACAAACATAGTAGGGATGAGAAAAAGGCAGTTCTCGTATTTATATTCTGTGTTCCATATTTCCATATTCTTGGTTCGTCGGAGCCAGCAATCTGTAATTTGAAAGTAAAGCATGCTAGTGAACAACTGTGTGAAGCAGTCGTAAAATGTTACTTACACTGGGATCTGTCTGTTATATTCAGATCCATTGGTCATCGCGGAAGTCTTGGAGCTTCACGAGATAACTTTCGGATCCCGGGATTATGTTGGTGGGTCAGGGCGTAGCTACCATTATGAAAAAAAGCCCGGGCTTACACTTGATTGTTGGTAAGGTTGTACAAGCCCTCAATACTATCTGGATATAAAGCTTTGCAACCTATCGGGCTTACACGAAAAAACTGGCTTGCTTCGCGCCTGGTGGGTAACGGTAGAAGCTGAACCAGAATTATCTCCATAATCTGCGTATTTGTAGAATCACTATTTAATATTTTTTAGGCTGATAAGGTCACAGGTCAATGATACATAATCTGGGATGTGTTACAAATCCACTAAATTGTTACATTTCTTAAATTCATTTCATGAAATGTGTACACAGATAAATTCCTGATAGTATTGTCAGAATAACGTGTCATTAATGTACGATATTTGTCAACATTTGGATTGAAATAGAAATACACCTTCATGTATTTTTTCTAATGTCATTATGTAGATTGGATATACAAGTTGGACGTGATATTCGCCTTCAGCAAAGCTATATTTTCAATGTCTACAGAGTCTGTGCTCCCTTAAAATGCCTACATGTAGGCCAACTTCAGCGGAAAGCTCATGTGTGTTACAACGATATCGTGAGAGCTCTGCTCGAAACCCTTCCTAAATCTACGGAAAAACTAGGTTTGATAGATAACGGTTGGCACTGCGAGAGGAAGTTAATGAGTCGTGTCACTTGTTGATATACATGTCTTTCAGGGTCCGTTCAAAACGGCTTAAAAAATCAAGCATGTCTGCATTTTGCTGCAACCAAATTTAACCACAACTACATTTGTTTAGCGAGACTTATTCTTTGAATCCCACCCGTTTCCATGACTATCATATAGGAGCATTATATTATAACGGGGCGGTGGGGTAGCCTAATGGTTAAAGCGTTGGCTGGTCACGCCGAAGACCCGGGTTCGAATCCCCACATGGGCACACTGTGTGAAGCCCATTTGTGGTGTCCCCCGCCGTGATGTTGCTGGAATATTGCTAAAAGCGGCGTAAAACCAAACTCAGTCAGTCAGTCAGTATATTATAACATTTTCTGGGGTATATGGATGATGACACATTAAGTATTTTCAACCTGTATTTTATCGCTCTTAGACAACTTAAAACATACAGAGGGAATATGCCACATTTACCGTTTACCATGGTATATTTCGCCCCTGATTGTACCCCCAAAAGCTGATAAAAGCATACAACTGTATCTTTTCGATCAAGTCCGACTGTTCTATTCCCCAAATTTCTATTTGTATAATATGACGGTCGATTTTGAGGGCAGTCTTCCTACTTTTTTCAGAAGTAATGCATACAATTTTACACGCACACATTTACATAAAGGCAAGAGAGGGTTGGGTAATATTGGGTTGCGTACTGAAGCTGGTAAACCCATCCTTAATATAGATTCATTCCAATTTGGAACGTGATGGAGACAGCGGACGGTGTTTGGACAGCGGGACCTGTATAGCTGTTGCAACTATACTAAGCTAATGATTACACCACAAATCATGTTTCCGTGTCACAGCACTGATCCTCGTGTGTGTAGAGGCCACTATACTAATCGATACTCTGGACTTGTAAACAGTCTTAAGTAGGACTATACGTCAATGATCGGTCACCAATGGGCTTCTAGAGCGTGTGTCCACGCGTGCATGTGTTCGTGCTGTAACCGTATTGATGTCATACTATCAGCAGGCCAAAATATGCCTGTAACTTCATCCCTACCCTACCCTCAGAGCCAACGGACCGCCTCCGTGGTGTAGTGGTTAGAGCGTCCGCCCGGAGAGCGGAAGGTCGCGGGTTCCATCCCCAAACGCGTCATACCAAAAGACGTTAAAATATGGTACTTGTTGGTCCCTGCCTGGCGCTCGGCATTTATGGGTACAACAAGGACTGGTCGTCCCGGAGTCAGTATAATGTGTCTGAGTGGGGTATTCAACTCACAAACTGCACGGGGGAAATCAAGTCCTGGATGACAACTCATATGCTTAAACTCAATGCTTCACCGCGGCATGGTATCTCAGTGAGCTAGCACTATAAAACCAGCTTCAGTCTGGGCTAGTACAAGCAGCCGCACATACACATATACACACGCATGCACGTCGTCATATGAGCGAAATATTCTCAAGCACGACGTTAAACCCAATTTCACCTCACCTCACCTCAGAGCCAACGTAAGAACGTAAGGCTATAGTGATCTGCGACCGTATTCATAAAGATGGTTGTAGTACTTACACAAGTTACTCATACTGCTCAGGATTGTCACTTGCCATTTTCTTTAAAACGTCTTTGATATGCTCTTATATTGTGTGACGTTTTGGAGTGAGTGAGCGAATTTAGTTTTACGCCGCACTCAGCAATACTCCAGCTATATGGCGGCAGTCTGTAAATAATCGAGTCTTGACCAGACAATCCAGTGATCGACAACATCAGCATCGATCTACGCAAATGGGATACGATGACATGTGTCAACCAAGTCAGCGAGCTTGACCATTCGATCCCGTTAGTCGCTTCTTACGACAAGCATGGGTTACTGAAAGATCAATTCTGACCCTGATCTTCATGGGTAGGAGCGTTTTGGAAATATACGCAAATGTGCATTTTAAGACTTTGGAATATTCTGAAAACACAATCGTCATTAATCTGGTCTAGTACACGCAGACACATTATCACACATTACACGTATTATAATTGCAATACTTTTGAAAACAACGTTAAATCAAGTTTTACCTCGCCTAAATACTTCTATACCGCTGCCCATGTACTTCTTACTTACATATGTAGGTACATATGACAGTTGACATGGCACCACCACGACTTAAATAATTACCACAAAAGACAAAATAACTTACAACAATATTTATTAGTCTGAGCTTCAAACTGTGTTATAAACTATACACATTCAGTGTGTCCACTGCGTCATGAAACCAGAATGTACATATATACCGGATACATGCCACACTTTGAACAAAACCCCATCAATATACGTGTGCTTATTGCATCTTCATACCATAGAAACGGAATATCATTTAATGTAAGACATTCAATTTAAGTGGGGGCTACCAGCTCCTAACACATTTACTCACATTGTTTTCTTATTCAGGTTAACCTAAAACGAACATATCTAAAATACACAAACATTTCATATTTTATAAAGGGAACTATGGACATATAGGGCACCAGCCGGAACAACCGGCTTATTTGTATCGACATAGCCTACATATCTCTTCTAGTGGATACTTCTATTTTAGTTTAACGGAACATATAGGCAGTAGGACCAGTGCACCCCTTCCAATACGCCCCCGTTGACACTGGTTGACTTCATAGACCTTCAGAGACCAGGAAAAAAGAGTAAATTCCCCTTGAATTATAGAGTAAACCAATGGCTGCCTACTGTTGCACACGACCCTGAGTATCACGTCAACGTACTACCCGAGGTATAGACTGGTCCGTCTTCCCAAGAGCGCTTGCGCTCCTCACATTGTGCAGCCATTAGGAGGCGAAGGGTAGGTACCAGTCTACCCAAGGTCCCCATCTGCATCCAGCTGCACATTTGATAATAAACTAAAGTCTTATCACGTAACTCTGAGATCCCTGTAGTAAATGTATGAACCGATGATAGCGCCATCTTTAGTCCGACCTCCCATGGGGAGATAACCCACTTTCTGAAAGCCTTCCGACCGCTCAATAATCTTGATCATTGCAGTATTTGAGCTGAACGTGTCGACATACATTCCCATGTACCCCAACGTCCTGGCGTACTGTATGCACAACTGAAAACACAGTTCTCCCACTCCTTTCCTCCTTTCACAACGATGAACAATAACAAATGGATCCACAACGTTCTGTCCACGGTAATATTTACTTATTGCAAGCACAAATGCCGCAATCATTTCACCATTCTCTTTGTTCAAGATGGCGAAGCGACTACCGCCTTTGATGTCGTCCCGGAAGGTCTCTTCTGTGGGGAATTCGTCAGACCCGAAGCCGTCGTTGTTTTGTGCGGCTTCCTGAACGATGTGCCATACTTGTTTTAAATGACTTTCTGTCATCGCGTCAACTATGACGTCACGGCCATCCGGAAGTGACGTAAAATGAGGCAGGATGATATTTGGGTGCTTCATTGTTTCTTTTAACATCTCACCTCCTCCGCTGAACAGCCAAACTGAAACAAGAACAGAACGTTTTAAATAGGTTGAAATAAACCCGTTCTTACTTGGTCCGGCGAAAATATTGGAGCTGCATCACGACATAGGGGCAATAATGATTTTCACACAATTGTTCAGATGAATATCGAACTTGGGCCTTCGTTGTAACGAGCTAACACTAAAGCTCTGTATCGTTCGACATTGTCCGAAATAAGAGCAAAACTCCTACTAAACTCCAACTATATATTCCGTTTAAATGGAGCATCTGCGTAGATCCGCATATGAGTGAATGCTGAACAAGGCATGGTGGTTAGATCACTCGCTCGTCACGCCTTAGACGGATTCGTTTTCCATCATTGTAACCATTCCTTCTCACCCTCAGTTTGATGTGTTCGTAATCACCATATTTTGGCCTAGGATTAATCAATACCTTTAAAGGAGAATTATTTGGTTTAACTTGCAGCTATAAGACAGCGGTGCGAATATTTAGTTAAATAAATCAGACAACTTTCCTGTGTACGATTTCCGTGCTTAACTCAAACGTTCAGGTGGAAAATGGTTCATTATATGTTAATGAACTGATCTGTCACAGCAACTATACGACTTTTGGAAGATATAACTACAAAACGTATGTACTGTGTGTACCTGACACAATCACCAGAAACCCATGAATTGACCCTAACGGGATTCCCAGTGAAACTTAACTCATTAACCCATGTATATATATGTATACACACACACACACACACACACACACACACATATATATATATATATATATATATATATTTATATATATATATATATATATATATATATATGTGTTTTAAATACAGGTAATTTTATATTTGACTCTGATGCCATGGGATCTATTAGATATGAGGCACATATTGGGTTTTAAATACAGGTAATATTATGTTTGACTCTGATGCCATGGGATCGGACAGACTAAGGGATATGACGCTGAATTAAAACATAATTCATAATTCACTTCTAGTTGCACTAACTGTTTGGTTTCGATCTTTCAGCAACAAAAATGTAATCTCATTATGCTAGGAAGTGAGAACATAAATTCTTAGCTGTGACATTTGAAGGAACACAGTGAGGAATATACGACGCAGTAACCTCTGGTCAAAGATAGCAATTGTGCAACTGTAAGCAGAATGTGGAACGGAGCTCGCAACTAACGGCGACCGCCGAATAGGAAGCAGGGCCGACGTGACCTAGAAGGCCTTTTACATTACACCTAATACGTAATGCACAACATACGTTATAGACTCCAATGAAAATAGCAAAAGGTAGCCGAAAAACAAGTAATATAATACCTCTGCTCAGATCTGCAACCGCACAGCTCTCTTGTTTACAGCGATGCAGGTCACAGTCTGTTAAACAGCAGGTTAGTTTTGACAAGACTCTAGCTTCTCAAGGGAATACAGTCTGTTTGAGGTGCAAGCTAGTTCCTCTGATACTTGCTGGGCACCAGATGAGTGCCACTCTAAATGTCAGCTGACCAATCGTTACTGACCTGATGTTTGTTTACAAAGCAAGACCCTTCCAGATAAGGGCTTTATCTGAGAATTCCAATGGCGTATGTAGTTCATGTGCGGTTTTTGAGTTCACACGGTCTTGTACATGTCAGCTCTGTCAGCCGACCCTGTTGGTATTTAAATATACTGACTTAACAAAAGAGAGTACACACCTGGTGTTTGGGATCATTTGAAAAGTGTTGTGATTTTGACTGGCAAATTCGCAATTGGGCACGATATCTGGGGTGTTTTGACAACATATTAGGAAAGTCTGTGACTTATATATCACTGTAAAACATCTTTTTAAAACATTTACGTCGCTTTTGGAAAAGTAATCCAAAAGCACCGGGTGTGTACTTTCTTTTATTTATTATAGGATATTTATATAGCGCACATATCCATGCAACTAGTGCATGCTCAAGGCGCTGCTATTTTTTCCCTCGATCATTGGATGTCAATCTCATCGGCACATCATATTATCAATCTCAACTCCCTGGGGAGTATACATTTCTTGCAGCCACTAGGCGCACCGAGTTATTGTGGCTTTCTCATCCTAACGAGGTACCCATTCACAGCTGGGTGGACTGGTACACACAGTCACAGTACTTTGTCCAAGTTCACTGCACGTTGCTGTATTCATGTGGCCACCATCTGGTCATATACCAACGGATTCGTGAGTTCTTTTAAGTGCACAGGGTTGTGTACTGTACACCAGGGGTTGTGACAACACTGGAAGAGTCTGCACACAAAGTTGACTCCAAGGTTTTTACACCCGGTCACAAGTGGGCTCGATCCCGACACCTCAACCTCGCTGGATCACCAGCCTGGCGCCTTAGACAGCTCGCCCACCGCGCCCCACATGGTCTTTTGTATGTCATGTTAGATTGCTCTTTCCTCAGGATGTTTCCATGACACTATCTGGTAATGATGATTTTAATCAGCATCAGTTCCATATGAATATAACAGGTATTTTTCACAATCTACAATAAAACGTGTATTAAGTACAATATGGACATTCATTGATGGTCACATTTCACACGAGTTGTCAAATCAGCAGTCGGAATCATAGTTCTAAAACATAATTGTTTACAGTGCTGTCGGCAACTTGTAACACCTTTTGAGACCATATCTGAAATATGGTTGACACATCCGAGCATCTAAAGATTCAATATTCATTCTTTGAATGTATTTTACAATGAATACATATTTGTAGCTATTTCAGGCACGATTAGAATACGATTGTATGTTGCTTGAACAATAATAATAATAATGTGTCCATTTATATAGCGCCAAACTCCACACTAGGTATGCTCATAGCGCTAACAATCAAGGCACAGGACATTATTACCCCGGATAACCCAAGCTGCCTGTTAGGCGCTAGAAGGTTATAGTCATATGACTTTTTTTCCACCGGGTACCCATTTTCCTGCTGGGTGAACAGAGACAATTTTGAACAAACTCACTTGCCTAAGGTGGGACCACATGCGTCACATGTGCTTCGTTTTGGGTCAGGACTTAAGTCCTAGAAACTCTCAGGAGTCAAGCTGCCAAACACGGTCACCCATCCAAGGACTCTCCGAGCTCGACGCAGCTTAACTTCACCGATTTGTGATCTGAGCTTTGTGCACAGGACCACGCGCCACCACAAACAGAGTATGTTTGAATGGTCTTGTATGAAAGTATTGTATGTAAAAACTGTGTTTCGTAATTGAGACCCTTGAATTAATTTAATATTTATTTAGTATCCAGTGGTTTATTGTTTCAACATGCCCACAGTAAATGTCTCTCGTGAAGTCGATGGCCCAGTGACCTAATGCCGCAGTGTTGTGGCGCTCCAGTTCATGTGTTTTGGGTCACATTACCCTCATAAATTCTAACTGTCCCAGTCACCAGACATATTCCCTGATACCACAAGGATCATATTCGCGTGCGTCATAACAATGACATTGATGAGGAGAACAATGAAACGTTTTTGTCAACATTACACGAAACATTGATATCATAACTTAATAACTTCACAAAATATGAGAAAGTAATTTTGGCATGTCTAGACATGATTCGAAGTCACATGTCAACATGTAATTAACAGCACATGAAACACAAGACCTGAACTGTCAACACCGACCAATATCGCCCAATAGAAGGTAGTCAGTCATCCAGACCCTGAAACAAATATGTTTCAGGGCAAGTGTAGAATATGTGGCAAGTCGAGATTTCCACAGTTTCTAAAAATGAAGAAAGTCTCAGGGCTTGTTTTCATTATGTTTTATTATCATAATTTAGGAACTGTTTTTTTCTTCTGTAAAATATGTTCATTTCAGAGACTAGATGTTAGTCTAGGCCGACGGGTACTGTTCAGGGACTGTGAGACAGACAAAAAGGTGAGCGCACGAGAAGACAAACACCTGACTTGGACGTAACATATTCACCCTCAGCTTGAGTCCGAGACAAAGATCTGACTTTGACGTAACATATTCACCCACAGCTTGAGTCCGAAACAAACAGCTGACTTGGACGTAACATATTCACCCACAGCTTGAGTCCGAGACAAACAGCTGACTTGGACGTAACATATTCACCCTCAGCTTGTGACTGAGACAAACAGCTGACTTGGACGTAACATATTCACCCTCAGCTTGTGACTGAGACAAACAGCTGACTTGGACGTAACATATTCACCCACAGCTTGTGTCTGAGACAAACAGCTGACTTGGACGTAACATATTCACCCACAGCGTGAGTCCGAGACAAACAGTGTTTTCAAGAGTCACGAATGACAGCAATGGAAGAGTGTGATGTGTTAACAAAGAAGACATTAAATACATCACATTAAACTTGCAAAAGTTACTTGCCTTTGGAGGTCTACTTTCAGTCTGTTAAACTTTCAACAATCGATAAACTTGTCCAATTGGCAGTTGCTTATCTATGCATAGCAGTTGCTCGTTTGTTCCGCCACCCTCCTGCTGGCATCCTCATTAAAACTAACCACCTCACTTCAGAAATACAACATTTACATTACAAAACATTTTTTTAATTTTTTATTTTTTTATTTATTGTGATAGCAAGTGATACAATATTCATACAGTTGGATAATAAACACAAGACATAAAGTCAAGTTGCGGGATAAGCGAGAGACAGCATGATTGATGGGTGTATGAATAAAGTACAAAGAAAGAGGTATAGGGATGTAGGAAAGTAAGAAAATAGAGGAGAGAAAGGATGGTATTATCAAGCATTGGTTTGCGTCCGTCTGTATTAGTATAGGAGCCCATTTTTCTGCAAATTTGGTCTTGTCTCGAGAAATGAATTTCTTTATGTTGTGATTATATTTTTTTGGCGGTAATAATTGAGTAAATATGGGAATAGTCTTATTGTAATGACAATTTTGAATATTACGCTTGGTTATTATAAAAAGGTGTTTTTCAAGGATACTCAACTTTGAATCGCTACATTACAAAACATATATACCAGCAGGCACACTATTTATGATTTTTGTCATTACGCATTACTTATGTGACATGTATTTCCAATACTACTGGCTTATCGTGTTTCACAGTTCTCATACATTTACAAGTAACTAAAATAATCCAGATGTGTACGTACTTACTAAACAGCAAGCATTAGTCATCACACTGAGATGGTATTTTTTCATACTTGGTTTCCAATGTATAGCATGCCCAGTAGATGGTGTTAAATCCAATGTATAGCATGCCCAGTAGATGTTGTTAAATCCAATGTATAGCATGCCCAGTAGATGGTGTTAAATCCAATGTATAGCATGCCCAGTAGATGGTGTTAAATCCAATGTATAGCATGCCCAGTAGATGGTGTTAAATCCAATGTATAGCATGCCCAGTAGATGGTGTTAAATCCAATGTATAGCATGCCCAGTAGATGGTGTTAAATACAATGTATAGCATGCCCAGTAGATGGTGTTAAATCCAATGTATAGCATGCCCAGTAGATGGTGTTAAATCCAATGTATAGCATGCCCAGTAGATGGTGTTAAATCCAATGTATAGCATGCCCAGTAGATGGTGTTAAATACAATGTACAGCATGCCCAGTAGATGGTGTTTAAATACAATGTACAGCATGCCCAGTAGATGGTGTTTAATACAATGTACAGCATGCCCAGTAGATGGTGTTTAATACAATGTACAGCATGCCCAGTAGATGGTGTTTAATACAATGTACAGCATGCCCAGTAGATGGTGTTAAATAGAATAGAAGACCCTTAAGCTGAATTGTTCTACATGTCGTTATATATTTATGGACAAAGTTTACAATCGATAATGTGCATTTTTCCGATTAAGAGATGCAACATTAAGTCTGATAAAAGAGAAAGTTGGAATGGAAGAGGTACGTCAAAGTATTTCTCATAGTAGGTGGTAATTAATAAACCAATAGTTCCTATTGGTGCTGCACTGTATGCTACGTTATTTTACGATTCCATTTTGATTGGCCAGGGTAATATTGATCAGAGGAGTATGTTTTGGTGATTTATTTGATAATTGCAACAAACGTACATGCAGCGTGTAGGACATGGACCCTGACCATTCGTCTCAATCAACTGACCAGTTAATGAGGCCGAACGTGTAAGTGTAAACATGGTGTATTGAACATTCGCATTAATAGTCCACGTGAAGGGCAGAAATATAATACGGATATTGATTTCACCAGTGTTTGGCTGCTACTGTCAAACGAACAACACACTTTGTTTACTTATCAGTCAATACCCAACAGATTGATGTCATCGTATCACCCTCGTCACAACAACCCGGCCGCCATTGTAATTAGTAAGTCCATGGACCTATATATATCGCTGATGATTGCGACAACAGTCACTGTGGTCAAGACGAAATAATTGCGTAATAAACAACCACACACGGTATGCAGCATTGTGAGGTTGTATTTAATCAGCCAGCCAATTTATTGGATGGTGTATAGAAAGCAAAAAATATATCTAAAGAGCATTTATGAAAATGGTCAAATTAGGGTTAGATTTTAAATTATGGTGAACAATTTGTATATATGTCTTAAGTCGCAATACCAACAAAACTATGCAAAAAATTAATTACATGTTTTTAAGAACAAGAGAGTAATAGCTGTAAATAATGTTTCTTTTAAACATCTTAATCGTGCTGTT